CTTTCTGCAAAATAACATCCACACTTCTACACGGAACAACGTCAAAACAACAATACGGTGACCACCCTGAACAAAAATAGTGACAACCGCCTGACTCTGGAGGGGCGAACAACAACAACAGCGTCCTCTGGTGTCCAACTTAGGTCACTACCCCTTTCCACAAATCTCCGTCCCTATTGGTCTGCGACTCCATGCACGCCCATCTCACCGATATTGTCAAAACCCAAGTGAAGCAAACTAATTCGGGGCTTGTCATCATTCCGGGTGGATTGACCAAAGAATTCCAACTGCTAAATATTGGTGTTAACAGGGTGTTCAAAGTTAAATTGCGAGCTGCGTGGAAGCATTGGATGACTGAAGGCGAACACAAATTCACCAAGACAGGGAGCCACGCCGTTTGAGTTACGCCACTATCTGCTAATGGATCGTGGATGCCTGGGCTAAGGTATCAGTCTGAGCTTTTACAAAGGCCGGAATCATCACTGAACAGCTAATTAACAGCAACGAGACTGACTCGGATATTGACGAGAGGGAACCGGGCATGCTTGATTGTTCCGCTTCATTGTTTAGCTGACTGTTATGTTTCGCTTAATGCGCCTTATAACCCGGTGCGCCTTATGTATGAAAATATTCCCGTTCATTGATATTGCGCCTTATAATGCGGTGTGCCTTATGGTCCGAAAAATACGGTATATGTAAATATAAAAGCTAAGAATGCAAAAGGTAATACTCACTTCAAACCAGGGCATTTGACCATTACTCTAGAGAAAGTATTGGGCATGCTACTAAATACCAATTTATTACAAGTTACCAAGTTAGCAACTGATTTACACAATTATAAAAAATAACCTGTTACCAGACAAAATAACTACTGCATACATTTTTAATTCAATTTTTTTCATTTATTTATAATATAAATAAATTATTCTCATGAGAATAAATACATTAATAAAAATGCTGTAGACAAATCTGTACTAATTTAAATTTTAAATATTGTAGAGATTATCATTTCTATGTGTAGAGTAGTAGAACAAGACATTTTAGATATTTCAGACTTTTGGTAGTTATAGCACCTCAGCAGATGTCAACTGACCATCACATATTTCTAAAAATTCTCCACTATTGAAATAAGCCTAAAATAAGCAACTGTGACAATAAGCAAATCAAAAATGTTAACTTCTGTTATAATAATAATAATCTTGTTTTAATGATCTCTTAACTCTGTGAAACAGGACTTCTTCTACTTCTTTCTATCAGAGGTATATGTATTTAACATGCAATTATTCTGTTATGAAACTCTATATTTGGCAACAGAGAAGCTACTGAAAATAGTAGCCACGGAAGGTGAAATAAAGTCCAGCCATATTGTTACTTGGAGCAATTGTCAACAGGAAATACAGGTCTCTTCCTTTTGATTAGCGACTGCAGACAGTCTTGGCAGTGGAGGATGGAGGAAGTGCCAAATCTGGGTATTAGCTATTCAGCTTCAACAGGGCCCACATGCAAAGTTTAATTCCTGTTTTTCTCATGTTACATTTCAGTGACACATTTGCTGTGAAAAGCACAATAAGTACAAAGACTTTTATAAAGATTATTTGCATTCTGATTTTCACTTGAACAAAAAGGGGTCGTATTTATGGTCTGTGAATTTTACAACCCAGTAAATGCAAGCCATGCAGCCAAAAAAGAACTGTACATTAAAAACTTTTCCTGTTGTTTCAGGACAGAGTGTCTCCAATAAAAAAGTACTACTAGCAGCCCAGTAGTTAAAAGCCTGCTGCGTGTTAAAATGACATTACCTTGGTCCTGCAGACATCACAGAGCAGTTGGTCTCAGTGCAGAACTCAGTGATGGTGCCATACAACATGTTGATCTGGTTGAAGAAGTCCACAGCTAAAGGCAATGAAATGACACAATTACATGTTTGTAGATATCACCTGTAGAAAATAATCTTAAATTTCATTGTATTTTCCATCTTATCATTGCCCCAGCATATTAAACTAAAACAGTGGTTCACATTCATCTACTTACTGTTGACAGCGATCCACTCATTGAGATCCTCTCCTTCTGGCAGCATGACAGCTTGCCTCAGGTTTCCACTTCCCAGAGTTGCCTCAGCATGTTTGAGCAGCTCATACTGGTGAGAGCCCTCTGGGATGTTCTTCTTCGGCTTGAAAGTCTTAGATGAGCGACTGCCACTGAAAATAAAAATAAAGTGTTTGAGAACGCGTTACACAACTACACACACAGTTATCTCTGTGAAAGGCCTACAGAGTAGCAGATATTCAAATAGATGTTTAAAATGTGGAGATGTGTCCAGTCTGTGCAGAGAGGATTAATTAATGACTAAATGGTTTGGTGGCCATATTTCTCAGATTTCTGATCTAAGACACTCTCACAGTGACTTCAATGTAAAAGTATTGTAAGATTCTTGTACGCCACATTTGAAATAAAACTGATATAATCATTTTCCTTGTGATTTTTCAAAGACAGACCTTCTGTACAAAAACAATGTCAAACAAATATGTTTCACTTAAAGAATCACAAAACATTTAAGCAGTTTACTGTAAGAGATGAATTACAACAAGGTCTCAATCCCTTTCCTCAAATGTATTATGTTTTGGAAACAACTTTTGTTACACAGGTTACATTTAAAAATCTTCTATCCTTACAGAAAAAATAAGTTTTCGTTTAGTTGCATTGAAAATACATATTACACATGTATCACCCAAAACTAACTTAAAATAGCATTTTCCAAAATGTATCGGCATTTATAGCTAAAATAATAGGTAGATTAATAAATCATGGGAATATTTGGTTGCAGCCTGAGACACAGACCAGCATAGTGCAAGGATGTGGGGAATACAGAGATCATTGTCAAATGTAGTGTCTAAGTCTATGATCATTTGCCCACAGCAAATCCATTTAATGTACCACATCTAGTATAATGAGATTGGCCACGGACAGTGGAGTGGTGACAACGAATAAAGCCTGAATTCAAGATACAGACAGTTTGTGGATGCTCAAGCAGCTTATGAAAAACTACAGGCAGAACGTCCTGGTATCTCTGTTTCAAATATAAGAACTGAGTAAAATCTCACTTTTTAAATAATGATCTATTGCAGTATTTTAAACTATTAATTGTTTTATTATAAAATTATATTTTTATATTAAAGTAGATCTGATAAAACGATATCACAAAAATAAACGTGTATAACTTGGGTATTATTATACAATTTCGTCATTATTATTGACACAATGTGACAGTAGAGAGACTGTCGTCGTCATAGGACAGACAATTCTGAAAAAAGACGCTGTTGATTCCAGATGACTGCATTTCACGACACTTAACTAACCTTTAGACAAGAGGCGTAGATCACAACTAACGATAACTTGTCTAATCTTATCCGAGTCAGGAGAGATGATATTAAGTAAGCTTGTAATACGAGCTAAAGTACTTACTTGCCTCGCTAACAAGTTAGCACCCATCTAACCAGCTTTAAATAAGTTGTAGTTCAACGACATTGGAATACTGTACGTGACTAAAGTGACAACAAATAAAGGTACGACGAATTCAAAACATAAGTAAACGACGACTGATTCAGTTTAAATGTAAAATGAGAGAGATGGTTTGTTTTCCAGAACAGTGCCATGCTTAAATCGACATTTCCCCTGGTGGAACTTTGCAGAAGCTAACGTTAACCGCAAGCTCCAGGTGCAACTTAGCAAATCGCTGTTAACTTTACTTACAACAGGAAGCTCATCTTGGTGACACGCTTGCTGAAGAGTGGATTTTAGAAAGACTTAAACCTGCTCTTAGAAACTGAAATATGGTGTTAAAAAAATAGTACGAATCACTTGTCGCCGTTGCCTGCTAACACAATTCTCGACTGTCGATCTGCTGTACCCACAGGAGCTCTTCCTCTATCTGGTTCAATGGCTGCGCAGAAGGAAGATTGTCGCCCTCTGTCTGCCACATCTGGAGCTACAATTTAAAAGTCTTTTCACCTCGTCCCTCGGGGGGTTGCCACGACAGGATCATTTACGTTCATCTTATCCTGTCTTGTGACTCCTCTGCAATAGTCTTTGGTCACACCAACCATTTTCGTGACCTTTTTACTACGTCCATGAATCTTCTTTGGGGCTCAAGTCTGTCTTTTCTGCCTGTCAGCTCTGACCAATATACACACAATCTCCACTAAACATATATCCAAACCATCTAAAAAAAAGAACTGCATTTAAAATAATTGTTTAAGCAAAATTTCAACTACATATAAGGCCCATATAAGGAGCAGACCACTCTTTTATTTAAAAAATATTATTTTTTCTTTGATTATTATTTTTTCCAGTTTTAGAATAGATTGTACTTCTAAAAACTTTAATATAAAACTTTAACTTTATTTTTTAACATTTAGTCTTCTATGTGCACAAATATGTATTTTTATCATGTTGTTTCCTACATTCGTTTAATAATGTTTTCATTTGAATAAAGTTCCAGACAGACCACTACAAATTAATATTGTTTTGCAGTAACTTAGATTAATTAATCAGACAATGATTGGCACAGTACTGCATCCTTGACACAATCCCAGCAGGTGATTGATCAGGGGTGGGTTACGCCACAGATATAGATGGTTTTCCGATGACGTCACACTACTACCCATAGTTCCGTAGTCCACCATCTTGTGGGGCAAAAAGAACAGCGATAATGGCACATAGCTGTGTTGGGTGGGGTTGTACCAACCGATCTGGGACTGTAGATCGTGAGATAAAAAATTTTTGACATTCCTAATGCGATCTGTCACCAAGGGAAGCTGACAGTGGATATTATAACAGAAAGAAGGATGCTGTGGCTTTCATGGATTAACTGTGCTCATTTCAACCTCCAAGCAAAGGGCATTACAAAGTCTGTTCTGAACACTTTATTTCGGGTAAGTACATTTTACTTTTATTTAATTCATATGTTCAATGTCAATAAAATTAAAATATATCAAAATGTACAAAATGTACATACATGTGCAAATGTAAATCCTCAGCTGACCACAGTCCATATCATTATCAGTATTTTCTATGTATATGTACAATCAAACAATCTTTTAATGAAGAAAGTAAAAAATAAAGATCTTTTTGTGATTTTTGAAAAAAGTATAATCTAATCAATGTTTTTTTATGTAAACTGTTATTCTAATGATGTTCACGTACATTGTATATTTATTACATTATCCGTACATATTATTTGAGTGTTATAAATACCGTATGATATACATTGTAACTATAAGTTATATTAAAATTGTGTATATACATGTAAATGTATGTGAACATTATTTTACATGTACATGCTGTACATTTGTATAATTATATATACATGTATTTTTTTTATATTTTCAGGGGAGAAAGCTTTTTGACAAGACAAATCCAGATTGGGCACCACCATCTTTGTAAATGGGACCTGTTAAAAAGGAGACATCAGAAATAATGTCTGTAAAGAGACGATATGAAAGATCAAAACAGAGAGATCAAAAGAAGATAAAGCTGAAGACTGCGGAAGCACGTTTGGACCTTCAGGCAACAGCTGATAGCAACACAGACTTTGATGAGACTTTTCCTGTCGTAAACGCACGGGTGGAAAAAGTTAAGTTTAATGGGAAACTTGAACCAGCAGGAGAAACAGCAGGTGATAAACTTTTAATTTTGGACAAAATGAGAACAGAACTCGAATAGATTTAAAGGAAAAGTTAAAAGAAACTGTCTTTACACCAGAGAATCTAGAGAATGATGAG